CTGAGGCTCCAGTACTTTGGCCATCTCATGAGAAGAGAAGACTCCCTAGAAAAGACCCTGATGTTGGGAAAGTGTGAAGGCAAGAGGAGAAGGGGACGACAGAGGATGAGATGGTTTAACAGTGTCATCGAAGCAACCAACATGAATTTGACCCAACTCTGGGAGGCAGCGGAAGACAGGAGGGCTTGGCATGCTCTGGTCCATCGGGTCACGAAGAGTCGGACACGACTTAATGACTAAACAACAACATCTTCACTAAGCAACTAGTCTTTTCCTTTCATACAAACTACAGCTTTGAATAGTAATATTGGGGAGAAACAGCAATCTAGATTCTTTGTTTTGCTTTTTTCTAATCATACTTCCCTCTTTGCTGTACTTTTTGGTTGCAATGGTCAGGATATTATCTACATTAGTGCTGCAAACGATAGCAGCAAATTGCCACCAGTTAAGGAGCTAATGTTTATCTTCCTCATTGTGCATCTGTCATGGGACTTGGTATACAGTGAGAAGTACAAGCACTGGCATTTCACCACTGTGGTTTATATCAGCAAATGTAGTATAAGGATTCTGGTCAGCATTGCAAACTATGGATTTATTTAGATTGAAAACCATGCAAGTTTCTAAGTAGCAATGCTGCATTTCTTCTTCTTTTTTTTTTTTACTAGAAATTACCTCTTTTCTTGTTTGCTCTTTGTCAATTGCTATTCAATGGTAGACTGCCTCTGAAAATGGATGCTTCATGGCTACTAGTTATTTATAGATTTATCCCTTCATGAACTGGCTAATCATTAAAAAAACAGTCATCTGAATTAACGGTTATCATTGCCTTATCAAACAATCAATTATGCTTTGTGGAAGAAGTAGCTTCAGATAGCAGCTGTGGCTTCCACATTTTAATGTTGTTTTGCATGGACTCCCACTCTGTTTTTTCACTTGGATCCTTATCTAGACTGTGTGGGTTGTCTCTGGAATAGCAGAAAACTCCACCTGTTGAATGTACAAGAATTCTGCTAGGAAAATAGCACTAGAAGTGGATATTTTAAAGGAAACACTGGAATGATTGCAGTGAAAACTGAATGGGCATGGGATACATATTTAAATATTAATAGAGCTGTAGTTTCAAAGTGCTTTATGCACAATGGCTGAGTAATCTTTGCAACAGACCTGTATGGTTATCTCCATTTTGCAGAGGGGAGTCTAAGGCTGAAAAATCAAGATAACCTAATGAGCTCATGATGAAAGTGAGATGTGAATCAGAACTTTTCCTCACTCAGAGCCCAAAATATGATGTTATGTCTGCTTACAAAGAAAGCCAGAGAGCATGCAAAGGGAAGAGATAAGACTTCCTTTTGCTGCTCTCTGTTGTGCTGTGCGTTTCCATTTTATTCCTCATCCAGTCACTAATTTATTTAATTTCTAAGCCTCGCCGATTCAGCAGCTTGTACATGCACAGACAGAGGTCACTGCTTGTAGGGCTCCTGGCACCTTAACCCACCTTTGATCTCACCTGTCTCTTGATGAAATTGGGTTGATGTAAACAAAGCTCAAGTAACTCTTCCGCCTCCTTTTCATTCATTGAAACAAGAGTGCCGTCAGAGGCTTCCTTAGAATAAACCAGCTCTCTGAAGCGCAGAAAGAAATCAGTCTCTGTTGGATTCCTCACACCTAAAGGTTGAGAGATTCAGATTCAAAATTTCCAAAAAGATATCTCACAGAAGCCATGGAAAAATCCCAGCCCCTGTTAAAAAAACGGAACAGAAAAACATTTTGTTCTGTTTCATGCTTTTGTTTATGTAAATTCTAAATCCATAGGAGCTGCTGTGTTAATCTCTTGTGGCAAAACCCACATTTAAGAGCCCTGTTAGAAATGGGCATGCTTGTTAAAGCATAAGCTTTCATGGACTTCTTTTTTGTTATGTGCTGTCAAGTCAGAACTGAGTTAGAGTGATCCTAACAGGGTTTTCAAGGTAGATGAGATATTTAAGGTCTAACCTGTTCCACTCCTCCAGTGAATCTCCATGCCTGATCGGGGACTCAGACTCTGGTTCTCCAGAGTTCTAGTCCATCACTCTATCCATTACACCTGATTGGGTATTCATGGACTTTAATTAACTTTATCTGATAGAAGAACACAAGCTAAGTCCTGGCTTTCCATGCCATTTGCTGGGGTTGCTGAGCAAGTAAGTCATAGAAAGATTAGAATAAATAAATACATTTTTTAAAAAAAGGTGAAAAGTTGCACATAGGAGAGTCGGGAGAAAGAATACCGGAAGGGAAGGGGGAGAGAAAATACAGAGCTGAAGATCTTTTCCTGATATGTATCAGCCATCAGTGTTTGTAATTCATATCCTAATGCATGCCATAAAATAACAGCTTGATCATAATCACCGTTTACCTTACTCTTCGATGTCTCTCTCTTTCCACAATGTGCTCACTGGACCAGACTACCTGACCTGTTCATCAAAAGTTAAGTAGATTTAGGAGCCCCCTTGAAATAACTGGATGTTGACACTCACCGGCTGGGCAAAGGAGGGACAAGGCACAGACCTCAGATGGATAATTAGCGGCATAAACCCCAGCAACCATTCCGCCCATGGACATGCCAACCAAGTGGAACGGCTTTTTGTTCAGACCAGTCCATTCAACGAACTGAAACATGGATGAAGAGAGAGAGAGAGATGGGTTTTCTGACAAATATTTGTTTAGGGCAAGACATCTGTCAGGTTAAACATTCTCTGCTCCTGACAGACTCAGGTGGCACCTAAAACGTTACGTCACACTGGCGCAAGAAGTGCATTTCCTGATGGTTGGCCCAGGAGATCCTGTGGTGGAGAGGAGAAATCAGAGCAGCAAAGAGAGGAAAGAGACTAAGGGTGGGGAAATGGTAACTTTTAAACTATGGGCATTCATGATCCTGCCCTCTCCCATTAGGCAAATGAGATACCTGCTGTTTTTTTAATTGGGTGGAGTGATGGCCATAGAAACTCCTGGGGAGGGTGTTGGAGCTCATAAAATCCTTAAATCCTCACTTATTTTAAAAGCCCTGTTAGCGTTGCTACAAGTTGGTTCCAACTTGATGGCATTTAGCACATAACATAGCTGTGCCCCACCAAGAGAGTTCAGAAATGCGGGTGGTTGTGTTGATCTGTTTCAACAAATCCATTTCTATTAGTTTTTATTTCCATCAGGAGATCCCTCCCCTGCTTCTTCTCACGTTAGAGTTCTACATGCTGTTTTTGCGTGTTTGTATTTATTTATTCATTTCCCCTGAGGCATGCTTTTATTTGTATATCTTACTTAATCTCCCCTGCTGACTAAACTGTGTTGTTTCAACTGTATGCATTTTAAAACTGCACATTTAAAAATGTGTCCCTTGTTCTGTACACAGTTTATTTATCCAAAATGTGCCACAAACCTTGCAAAACTGTGAATTACAGATCTTGAAAATATATCCTTTTCTATGTATGTATGTATGTATGTATGCATCTGTGAATTCCAGATCTTGAAAATATATCCTTTTCTGGATATACAGCTGAGAATTCTCAAAGCTGCTGTCCAAAAAACAAAGTTTTTCTGAAGTCTGGTGAATTTCTGAGGTGAGTGGAAGGTGAGTTTGGCAGGGAGTCTCAAAGGTCGTGCAGGAGGAGGGATCTCACTGAGACTGTTGAGTCCAAGGAAATTTATCCTCACCCATCATGTGCACCAGCTTTTTAGTAATATGAGATTTAAGATGACAAACCAAACATTTCTTCATAAAGCAGCAAGAAAACAAATCATGAAACCATTAACATAGCACTTAAAAATAAAAGAGGTATTGTCGCATCCCCACAGTGTCCCTTGTTTGTTCTCGCTAAACACAGGTCTACCCTCTGGACGCATTTCCTCTTTTTACGCTGCGACCAGTGGATCTAGTCCACACAATACCAAATATACTGTATCTCAGACACGTGCTGCCAATACAACACGTTTATCGATATTTTGGTTGGTATGTAAATCACAGATGTAAATCACAGTAGTTGAGGATCATTCATCAAATTAGATTTGATTACACGTCTGCTTGTAGGAGCATCTATTCACAATAACCACTTTAACAATATTCTTTGACCATCTATCTATTCTCTTTCCTATTCTCTGTAACACTCCAACTTTCCAATCTCTGTCTTATCTCTCTCAATTCAATGTCCTCACTCTCTCACACCCACATCCTCTCTCTCTCTAGCTGTCCCACTAACTCCCCAACTGTCACTCTAACTCCACCCCTCCTGTCCTCTCATAGGCTCGTGCACTTGAGCTCCATATGATGGACAGGAGTGACGTGAGCATTCCGCCACAGGTATCTCAAAATCTTCTTAAATATGCAGACTTTGACTTGATGATTCCAAAGCTTGCCTGACTGGTTTGATTTGGCACGAGAACAAGACAAAATATTTAATACCCATCAGACTCAAAGGACTTGCTGCAGCCCTTCCATTGACAGTGCTTACACACGTTGCGGTTCTTTCACGGATACCAATGAGAATGTTCCCTGCAAGGGGCAGGTACAGGTATGATTTGCCATAAAGAGCACATCTCTTATTCTACCCGAATCTCTCTCTCTCGCAGAACTTTTTGAGAGACAGCTTCCAGAAACCTCCCTCCAGCAAAGCCGGTAGAGGGTTCTGGCTGTTGTTGTTTTTAAAAAAGTATTCCCCCCCCCCATGCTTTCCTCCTTTATATCAGTGGCTCCACTGTAAAGTTTGGTACAACCTCATGATGGTTAATCCTGTACCATGGAACGGTGGGAGTGTAACCTTTTAAATGTTGTAAAGCAATGTTCTCATCACTGGACACGCTGAGTGGGGCTGTTTGGAGCTGCAATTCACTAATATTTGGAGGGCCTTACCCTGCCCACCCCAGTCCTTTAGCCACATTTTAAAGAACAATTAACAGACAAGGGGCAGACAGTGAGAGACACACCCAGCAGCAGCATGTTGCAAAATATCTGAGTTAAACTGATGGTCATGGAACAAGGAGCTGGCTAAGATCAGCGCCGTGTTTACCAGCTTGGTTTCACGTTTGTGATTGACCTGATGGTATTCACTATAGGTTTCCACATGTGGGGTGCTGTTTGCCCACCTCGCAGGGTTACTATGTGGAGAGATGTATGGTAACTCCCACACATGCCTGCCATCTTGAGCTCCACGAAGGAAGGGTGGGATGCAGAGAGGAATACCATGAAAGCATTATGGCATGGGGAATGTGTGGTCCTCCAGATTTTGATGCCACAGTACTCCGATCATGGCTCAGCCTTGGCTAGCCTGGCCAGATCTGATGTGAAGGCACTTCCCTGGCCAGATCTGATGTGAAGGCACTTCCACATCCTTTGAAGGGCTACAGGTCCCTCAGTCCAGCTGTCATGTCATAGGTAGAAGAGGATCATTTTGACCTCCTAACAACAGAAGGCAGGCCGTTTCCTTTTTTGACCTGAGGAAAGTTACTTTTGAGGGGCTACAGCTTCCAGATTTGCTCCGTCAGCATGTCTATGCGTGATTCTGACTGACACACCTTTGATATGAAGAAAAAACTCTTGCTAGGAAAATGTCCCCTCCTGGCCCTCTGCTCTGGGAGACAACACCTTCTTTCCTGCTCTGAAAAGCTTTCTGGGGCATTACCCCTTCCCCTTCTGCTATACCATTGTCTTTAAGGGACAATATATAGGTAGACAGCTGGGTGAAGTCCTTACCTGGTGCATCCTTTTGGCTTGAGCCGCTATAGTATAACTTTCTCCCAAGAAGCGGGTGGTATCTCCGTGACCAGGCAAGTCAACGCAGATCACATGGAGATCCTTAGGAAAGAGCTGTGGAAAAGAGAGGGCTGATTACACCATGAAGGAGCTAAAGCCATGATTTCTGGACCTCTTCACTTGTCAAATGATGGCTGGCTGGCTGGAAATGGTGGTGAATGTGTTGTGTTTGTTGGCTCCAAATCCAGCATGTATCTCTTCATAACAGAAAGTAAAGACTTAGAACATGGAACAAAAAAGACACTGAAGGTTGTTTTCTCACCTGTTTTGGGTAATACTTAAAAAGAAGATGTCTCAGCCTTTGTATGAAATCTTTCCCTACATGCGCTTCAACTGACTTCTGTAGACAACAAACCGTTACGTACTGTTTGGATAGGACTCTGTCATGGCTGGCTCAGTACATTTAGTTGCTTGAGGCAATGTGGCAAATGGTGCACACCCCACTCGGTCAGCTTAAGGTGCATAGATCCAAAGCCAGACAATTTATTTTGGCATACAGTACGAGGCATAAAATCTCAAAAACACTTTTCTTCTTCCCTGGTGTGAAAAGTACAATCCTAATAAAGAAAACAACAGTTTGCTCTCCCTTTATGATATTGAAAATCTGCTGCCTAATGCAGCCCTCACACTCTGCCTAATGGTGGAGCTGGCCCTGGGCCATAAAAAGATGGGGGCATTCTGCGTGGCAAGTCTCTTCTGCACAAGCTATTTGAAATAAGTTGGTTATATCCAAGAGTACAGTAGATTTTCTCCATGCAAATGCCTTGGGCTTCTACAGTGCCTGAATGGGAAAGTGGAAACCTACCTTGAGTATGTTTAGCCATATGTCTTTGTTGAGCGAGAATCCATGAAGCATCAAAATGGAGGGCTGGGGTCCTGGGGTCCCTCGGGTAAAGTAACAGAATCTGAAGCCCTCCTGATCAATGTGTTTCACTGTCACATGCCTTTTCAGACGTTTGTACCTAAGCATATTAAGAGGAGAAAGGCTATTATTAATAATCATGTGCTCTCAAATCAATTCTGACTTATAGCAACCCCTTTCAGGGTTTTCTATGTAGACAGTGGTCAGAAGTGGTTTACTGTTTCCCTTCTTTTTTTGGGGGGGGAGCCCTGGGGCCGTGCAGCTTGCCCAAGGCCACCCAGGCTTGGCTGTTCTCCCAGGAGCCACAGCGGGGAATCGAACTTCCAACCTCTGTCATTGCAGCCCAGAGACCTAGCTCACTGAGCTATCCGGACAGAGATTTTGCATAGGAAAAACAACCTGCAACAACTTCCTTTGAGAGTTACAGGGTTTCTGTAGGTCTGCTAGTGGTGTACCAGATGGCTGAATACAAAGGAGCAGCATCCTAGGACGTTTCCAACAGCATCAGCTGCCAGAATACCAGGATAATGGGCTAACTATTTATGAATGAGGATATGATGGGGTTGCTCGTATTTATTTATCACAGTTCAACATAGCGGAAGGCACGGAATGAGGAAAATAATCAAACTAAGATTAGTTATTCTCAGCAGCTGTTTATATGGTCACACTTTTTTTGCATTTCCGTTTCAAAGCTAAAGCACTCAATTGGCTGAAAATCTTCAGTAAAAACCTTGTGCATAAGTTGAAGCATGTGCCAAAGAAACATGTAGTAACTTTGAGTGAAAATATTTATTATCTATTTATTACTTTAATTTATATACTGCCCCCCATTTGGGTGGTTTACAAGCGGTTAAAACCAAACTTCACAAAGCAATAAACACTAAATGGAGTTGATCTTGAGTAACTGTGCACAGGATTGCTGTCATGCTAATACGGAAAACTGGGCGTCATACAAACCTAAAGAGGCTGCCTTATACAGTACTGTCCGTTGGTCCACCCAGAAAAGTATTGTTAAGTATGACTGGCAGTGATTCTCCCAGATTTTCTCTGATGCTTCTGTTCTGCCCTTTTAGGAGTTTCTCTCTATGCTAACTTTCTGAACGTAGGCTTCCTGGATTCTCATCTTCTATAATATGCCACTTCCTGGTGAGATAGTGGGGAACCCCAGCCCCTCTTAAAAGCTGGAATCCTATTGCTTAGTGAAGTAGATTGCACTAGATTATGCCCATTGAACCAGTGAGGATTTGCCGAGTCAACTTCTTTGTAGCCTTCATTGTTTCAAATGGGTCTACTCTAGCTGTGACTTTAAGTTGCAAGTAGAGTAGGCCTATTTGAATCAATGGTAGTTGCAGAGGAGTTGACTTACCATATCTCCACTGATTTGATAGACCTACTTTAGTGTAACCTGCTGAACTCAGCAACAGGCTTTCAGCCAAGGAGGACCTCCCTCAGCCCAAGGGCCAAATTCAGTTTCAGATATATTGGAGACTGAATCCCAGTGGTGGACAGTGCCAAAGGCAGAGCGGTGAGACCAAGGATACCAGCCTATTTAACTTAAAGTTCCTCCTGCCAGCCGGTAACTTAAGCCTCAAGAGAGGCATTGCAACTTTTGGAGGGGGAAAGCTAATAGAAAACCAGGGGAATAAGAAACAATAGTGTCATGGACACTATGTCATGACACTATAGTGTTCATGGTGACTATGGTCACCTGATGAAACCTAGAGGGCCAGATTTGATTCCAAAACCTGAGATTCCCTGCCCCTGCCCATGTATCATACTAGAGAAAACCACTCACCATGTCATGAATCTGAATATAATTGAAGGCAACTTGTCATACTTTGTGATGAAGGACGCTAATAATCTGTTCAGAATGATATGCATAATTGTTGTGATCATGGTGAAATCCGTTTCTGCCAATTAAGATGGTTCTTCTCAACCTGCACATAATCCAAAGATCAGAGAGTGGTAGGAAAGGGTTCAGTGCAGTTTGCTTCCAGGGCAATGGATTGCATGCTCGTATAAATTTAATATTTTTGCAAGTACAGTGGTGCCTCGCTTAACGGGCATTCCGTTTAGCGATGAACCCGCATAGCGAAGAACTCTTTGCAATTGCAAAAGCGATCGCATTGCAATGTTTCCTATGGGGTTTTTTCGCTTTGCGATGATCGGTTCCCTGTTTTGCTGACCGATCATCGCAAAGCGATGATTTGTTAACAGCTGATCGGCGGTTCCAAAATGGCCGCTGGGTAAAAAATGGCCACCTGCTGTGTTTTCGCGCAGATTCCTCGCTTTAGAGGCAGCGAAAATGGCCGCCGTATGGAGGATCTTCGCTTTAAGGTCAGTTTTTTGCCCATAGGAAAGCATTAAACAGGTTTTTATGAGTTTCTATGGGCTTTTTAAAATCGCATAGCGACAAAATCGCTTAGCAGCGATTTTTGCTGCACGGATTAACGTCGCTATGCGAGGCACCACTGTATTAAAAAAATAATCTGCCACATACAGTAGATATACCAGGACGCTACTGGAAACTGATGATCAAGCTTGGGGAATGTCAGTGCTTGGAAAGGTTATATTTTTGGGCCATACCTTCTAGAATTCCCCTGCCAGCAAGGCCAATAAGAACTTGCTTTCCCAAAGCAGCTGCAGAGTACTACCAGATTTCTCTGTTTTTAATGGAAAAACAAAATATATAAATGTACTGGGTAGAAATTTTACAGATCAGTCAATAAGAGTATTGCTAGTCAGTGTTTGAAATTAATGTGTCCATTGTGCCGTAGAGAAGCAAAAAAAAAAAAAATGAAATATTTGAGAACAAAACAATTGTGACAGATTTTTTGAAGTGCTGTAGGACCCCTTGTATCCGTGGATAATAGTGAATGCTATACATAGAATGGTAAAAGGAAAAAAAGAAAAAAAAGATTTTTTTCACATGCATTACAAGAATTTTTCACTAGAGGGCCCCAGAGACCATCCTATGTAGTCTTCAACAAGGCGGAGTTATTGTGCAATCTTTGGCTCCTTCTAGTCACCAGTTTTGGTAATACATGTGAAAATAACTTTTTTTTAAAAAGTATATATATTTTCAGAACACGGATAATTGAAACTGCAGATACTGATCCTGCAGATACAGGGGTCCTGCTGTATTAGAAAAGAACTGAATACTTCTACTGATATACTAAGTTGCTGCTTGCAAGATATTTGAAATAATGAGATAATTAGTGCACCTGATAATGGAGAAATTATTGTTTTGTTTATCTCCTACTTTCAGCAATTACATTGATATATTTTAATATAAGTTGTACCTCAATTTCAGGAGAAAACTTACTCAAATTTGGAAATATTTCCCTGAATATTGCCATAAAGCACCACTGTCTACAGATGTGACTAATACATATGTAAACTGAAGTCCTCTCCTCAGTCAATTCCATGCAATGGGAATTACATTTGAGTAAATACAGGGCTTGCCTACATACCCAGTTTGGAATGGGCTGGATTGGACTGATTAGGGTTGCTGGGCAGTGTGGTATGCCATTTGGTCTGATCCTTGAATGCAAATAACACAGAGACCCCAAGTTGACTGGCTGTCAATTTGCCAATATTGTGAAGTGGCTTAAGGAGATAGCCACTTCAGGATATTGGCAAATTAAACACTTCCTTGGCTCTGTGGAGAGGCTGAGGAAGTGATTTTTTATAAAGTGTATCGAAGCAACAAGGGCAATTTTTGTTTCTTTTCTCTGCTGGTCAAGAGCTGGGTGAGAAAAACAAACCAAAACTCCTCTTTATTGCCCTTTGTTCCCTCCCAGTTCCAGAAAGAGGTTTCCCATTTAGCTTTAATTTTTTTAAAAAGCGATATAGTGCATATGAACTGCCTTAATACACTTGAAAGGATGTCATGTTGAAGAGGGGACACGTTTGTTTTCCAAGGCTCCAGAGACTAGGACATGGAGCAATGGTTTCAAATTACAGGAAAAGAAACTCCATCTGAACATTAGGAAGAACGTCCTGACGGTCAGAGCTGTCTGGCAGTGGAATAGGCTGCCTCATGAGTGTGGTGGACTCTCCTTCTTTGGAGGTTTTTAAGCACAGGCTGGATGGCCTTCTGTTGGGAGTACTTTGATGGATGTTGCTGCATGGTGGGGGGTTGGACCGGATGGTCTCAGTGGTCTCTTCCAACTCTATGACTCTGTGACTTAACCTACCCTCTTCCTTGGTCCTCCATGTAGACAAGAAAGTATTTAATTTGCCAGTATCTTGAAGTGGCTCTCTTCTTAAGCCACTTCACAATATTGGCAATCAACAGGAAGGCTTGCTTTTTGGTTCTTTCTCCCATGATTTCAAAAGGCAACAGTTTCATAGTTCATCAGGCTGTTTATTTAGAGATGGTCCAAAATAGACTTTGATGTGCATGAGGAATATCTGTTTCTTGGGGAAAGCCTTTCCTGCCCAGATAAAAGGGCAAATATTACCAAAGGGTTAAGCCTCATTAAATGTAATCCAGTTGGCCCAAGTGACTTAGAATAATAGAATAATGAAGTTGGAAGGGGCTTATATGGCCTATATGAGTCCAACGCCTTGCTCAGTGCAGGAATACAAATCAAAGTATATGAGTCCAACGCTCTGCTCAGTGCAGGAACACACATCAAAGGATATCTGCCAGGTGGTTGTCCAAATTTTTCTTGAATGCCTCCAGTGTTGGAGCACTATTGGAATACTATTAAAATTTAAGCCTTATTGGTAGGTACTTGAGGTTCAGTAACTTTAGGCTTTTGTTCTCTATAACAAGCCTGCAACAGATAGAGGGGAGGAGAGAGTTGGAGCATCCTGGCCGTTAGAGATAACACTCCATTTTCATTCTCCAGGGAATGATCTGTTTATACAAAAGTACACCTCATTCAGGTAATAGCATGGATAAGGAAACAAAAAACAAAACGGTTAGGTTAAGATAGACTTTATAATGTTCCTAAGTGTGTACCTCCTTTGGGAAGATCCAAGAATTTGCAAGCTTTTCTTTGATTAAGTCTATGTTTTGCAACCATTTAATATTTTTCCAATTATTCCCTGTGGTGTCTGCCCAGGTCATGAATATTAATGTGATATCTGCATAGATCAATGGGAGTGCTGGAGGGGTGGAGTCATGCAATATAAGAGTCACAGCAGAAGGAGGGGGAGGTTAGTGGAGGAGTTTTAGGGAGATTGAGAGTTTAGGGAGAGTTGAAGAGTTTTGGGAGTTTGGGCGGAAGAGTGGTGGCTGAGAGGGGATGAAGGAGGATGTTTGTTTAAGAGTTAACAACATTGCTTGTTCTGTCAACATCTGTAACAATAAACAATTTCTATTTGGTTCTTTTAAAAATGACACATTGTCTGGACCTCTGTGATTAATAATAAACAATGTTGATGTAATCAACTGGTGGCAGCTGAAAGACACGTAGCGTGAACTACTCTTTCCATGCAACAAGGAGGGCCCACGTGGGAACGTGACATTCCCTTTTTCTTTTAATAATTGACATAAAATCCTATCGAGGATTTCGGTGGATTTTGTGTGCAGAGGAAATCTAGAGACTCTTTCCTGTGTCCGAAAACCACTTTGCCAAACTACTGGGGTTTGAAGTAAGAAAATGCGTGTGGGGATGGTGGCAGTGTGGATGTGTGTGACAGGCGTGGGAAGGCTTCACTTAATAAAATGTAGAACTTCAGGGAAAGGGTTGCGTGCCAAGAAGTGGAGTGGAGTGAAATGGCTCGATAGGTCCCTTCACTGAATTCTCCACCTCAGAGGGAAAAGGGATGGGAGTAGAAAGGCTGTCAGAAAAAGAACTGGGCAGCTGTCATGGATAGCTATTACTCCTGGTGATTAACCAAAGGACTTCTCGCCAAAAGGATGCGAAGCGGATCACCTAGTTTGACCTAAGACTACAAGATGTGGTTGGCAATTTACTCTGAACCTCTGGAGTTTCCTGAAATCTCACACCACATCTTAAACAGATACTGAAACAGGCGGGAGTCATCATCATTCTGGGCAACTCCCAAGACAAGGGGAATCTTTCTCCCTGAACTACTTTTTGCAGGTGTCCCAGCAGGATGTATTTCAAGACTGCAATAGTTTATCCCAGCAGCCTTGCTGGAGAGAGCTACTCCCTACATATCCTTGGTTTCAATCTGTTTCTTATCGAACTTTATAGCAGGTTAGGAAGATGTCATAATCATTTGTTCTCTTTGGATAATAATTTTTCCTATGATGCGCTGCCGTACAGGCCTATTCTACGACTTCCTAAATCAAGGCAATAGTTCTTGAGGTACTTGGCTTGAGAATACGTGCTCCACTGAACTCACACCACATTTACTTGTGAGAAGACCCATGGAATATTCTGTAGGAAATCCCGTGTCTCTGAAATTTATCTTTTTAAATAATAAGAACAGTGATGCTAACATTTTCTTCCCTCTGGCATCTAAAACTTACTTACTTACTTTCTTTCTTTCTTTCTTTCTTTCTTTCTTTCTTTCTTT